ACAGTCCTGAGAACCACAGATGATCCCATAGAGTGCCCAGTCTCCCTTAGGGACAGAATCACCCCCGGGTGGCGGCTCACATTCTGGAGAGGGCGCCAACGCCAGCATGTCACACGGTATCAGGTAGCAAGAAATGCCCTGAAAAGAAAATTGGGATACGGTGAGAGACAGCAAAAGGGGATGATTTCAGCTCCGTGGTCGGGAGCGGGCTCCGGGATGACGTGTGAGGGGGACCGGGGGGAGTGAGTGAGAAGGAGATGGGGGAGAAAGAGCTCGGCTGGCTGAGGGAGCAGCATGTGCAAAGGCCCTGGGGCCCCTCTGCAGCTTGTTCTCAGCCTTTTCTCTGAAGATGAGTAGCTGCTTCTCTGTAGGAAGACTCAGGTATTACCGGGGTTTATCCTGCCAGTGCTGAAGACTCACAACCCCACTCCTCAGAGGTGGGGATGACACAGAACCCTTGCCAGACGAGGGGGCTCAGGCCTGTCATCCCAGCATTTTGGGAGGCCGAGGTGGGTGGATCACCTGAGGTCGGGAGTTCCAGATCAGCCTGGCCAACATGGAAAAACCCTATCTCTACTAAAAATATAAAAATTAGCCAGGTGTGGTGGCAGGCACCTGTAATCCCAGCTACTCGGGAGGCTGAGGCAGAGGAATCGCTTGTACCTGAGAGGTGGAGGTTGCAGTGAGCCAAGATTCCACCACCGCACTCCAGTCTGGGCAACAGAGCAAGATTCCATCTCAAAAAAAAAAAAGAAAAAAAAAAGTCATAGCACCCTGATGTTAAAGAGGAACCCAGTGGTGGCTCTAGGGGCCAGGCAGGTGGCTTCTGTGAGGCGTGGGTCTTCCACGGTGGCCTGGGGCCCGGGGGAGCAGTGCTGAGCAGCTCTGCAGTTGGTGACAGGTATGAAAAATGGGCGTGGAGATGCCAGCCCTTCCATCTTTGAAGGCAAATGGTTTTGACAAACGGTCTCTGTATTTTAAAATATTGATGCCACCAACCTGGGCAATATATTAAGACCTCATCTCTACAGAATTTTTTTTTTTTTTTTGAGTGGGTGTCGGTGTGGGTGTGTGTAGTATGTGGTGAGAACACTTAAGATTTGCTCTCAGCAAATTTCAAGTATACATTATTACTATTTTTTTTTTTTGAGATGGAATCTTGCTCAGTTGCCAGGCTGGAGTACAGTGGCGTAATCTCTGTTCACTGCAACCTCCATCTCCTAGTTCCAGGCGATTCCCCTGCCTCAGCCTCCCAGGTACCTGTGAATACAGGCGCACGCTACCACACCTAGCTAGTCTTTTGTGTTTTAGTAGAGATGGGGTTTCACCACGTCGGCCAGGATGGTCTTGATCTCCTGACCTCATGATCCACCCACCTCGGCCTCCCAGAGTGCTGGGATTACAGGCCTGAGCCACTGCACCCACACAGAATTTAAGACAGAGTCTCGCTCTTCTGTGCAGAGGCTGCAATCTTGGCTCACTGCAACCTCCGCCTCCCAGGTTCAAGAGATTCTGCTGCCTCAGCCTCCCAAGTAGCTGGGATTACAGGTGCGATCCACCATGCCTGGCTAATTTTTTTTTTGTATTTTTAGTAGAGATGGGGTTTCACCATGTTGCCCAGGCTGGTCTCGAACTCCTGACCTCAAGTAATCCACCCACTTCAGCCTCCCAAAGTGCTGGAATTACAGGCATGAGCCACCATGCCTGGCCCCCCAAATTTTTTTAAATTAGCCGGGCCTGGTGGTGTGTGCTTGTAGTCCCAGCTACTCGGGAGGCTGAGGAGGAAGGATTGCTTGGGCCCAGGAGGTCAAGGCTACACTGAGCTGTGACCTCACCACTGCACTCCAGCCTAGGCGATGGAGTGAGACCCTGTCTCGATAGATAGATAGATAGATAGACAGACAGATAAGTAGATGATTGATAGATAATAGATGATATATAGATGATTGATAGATAATAAATGATTAATAGATGATTGCTAGATTATTAATAGATGAGATATAGATGATTAATAGATAGATGACAGATGATTAATTGATAGATGATTGATAGATGATAAATCGATTGATTGACAGATGCCAAACTTGAAAAGCAACTGTGTGGCTGAGCCCCAGGGGTGACCCTGCCTCCTGAGGGCGGCATGTGCAACCTCTGATTTGCCCACGAGGTCCAAAGACCACAGAAGACACCTGAGGACTGGAGCCCACTGCCCTCCTCCCCCACGGCCAGCTGGGACTCAGTGAGGTCTGTGTGGCCCTGGCCAGGGCAGCGGGGTGAGGAGAGCAGCTGTGGAGCTACAGGGCCCGGTGAAAAGCTGGGATGTCGCAGATGAACGCTGCCCCTTGCGGCTCTGTTGAAAGGAGATCTGTATGGCAGGACAGGCCGACCGCCCCGGGACAGGCCCCCAGATAGCCAGGGACAGGGCAAGAGGATCACAAGGGGCTGGCCGTCCGTCCCCAGCAGGCTGGGCCATGGCTTCAGAGCCTGCTGGATCCGGACCGGCCTCTTCCCCTCTGGGCCACCCTGGCAAGCCCTTCCCTTCTCAGAGCTGCAGTTTCCAGATGGGAGCAGGGACACTGGCCTTGTACAGGCCCCTGAGGGCCCAGCACCGGCTACACTGGCACTCAGTGTTCGTGGGAGACGTGCAGAGCCCCCGGTGGGGTTCACCCTGGAGTATGGATGCCTGCAGACCCTGCCCAGCTTGGGAGCTGGAGAGGTTGACGGGTCCTCTTCCCCTTGACAAAGATGAAGCTGGCCTTAGTCCTCCCTCACCCACCTCTGTACTTCTCAGGATGCCCAGGGACTCTCCAAAGAGGGACTGGGGTACGAGAGGCAGCTGGGAGCCCAGGGGACCCCGGTGCCAGCCCCGGCTTGCTCAGTGCCCCGGTGTGCAGGTGCCCTGGCCCCTGACATTTGGATCACGGCCCCCGATATTTGGATATTTAGATAGATGGAGAGGCAGAGCCGGGGCCCCCACCCACCCCCACTCACAAAGGCCAGGCAGAACCCTCTGCTCCCCGGCCTGCCATCGCAGAGGGGCTCCTGCTGTCCTGGTTTGGGTGCTCAGGTCGGGGTGGAGCCCCTGGTCCCCAGGGACAGCCGGGAGGGGAACAGGGCCTGGCCTCCTGGCTCACACAGCCCACAGCCTGGTCTGGGAGCTATAAATAGCAGCTGCAGCATGGTTACTGCCCTGCCCACTCTCCTACGCATGAGTCAGCCTGCCCTGGCCAGAGCTGGTGCCCGGAGGAGCCAGGGGGCCGGCCTGAGGCCCTGCCCGGAGCTGGTGGGTCACTCGGGAGACGAAGGCAGGCAGGTGGACCGGGAAGGTACTGCGTTGCCGTCTGAGTGCTTGGGTGCCCAGCAGCCCCACGTGGGTGGGCCCCCTGCCCATGTGTTCCCAGCAACCCTCCAGGCGGGCATCAGGCGGGCAACAGTGACCTCACTGACAGACCGGGGAACCGAGGCTTGGGAGGGCACTTCCCTGGAGGCAGCGACCTAGAGCAGAAGCTGGGATTTGTTTGCCTCCAGGGCTGCCTGTCTCCGGCTGAGGGCACCCCAGATGGGGCTGGGCCTCCCTCTGAGGTGCTCCTGTGGGGCCGGTGTCAGGGCAGGAGGGAGGTGCACCCCCAGAGCACTCAGGTCGGGCCGTGGATGCCAGGCTGAGAAGCTGGACCTTGACCTGAGAGAAGGGAGCCATGGGTGGCGTTAGAGCAGGGGAGGCCCATGTTCCAGGTGGAGCACTGAATGGCAGAGTGGAAGGAGGGCTGGAGGAAGGGGGTCTGGAGGCCGGGGGCAGGGGGAGTGGGGTCAAATCAGGGAGAAGTAGAGCTCTTTGAATCCCAAAGCCACAGTAACCTCAGTGCCCCAGCCTCGGTGATGACAGGAGAGGGGACTGAGTGGTCTTCGGGCAGTGCCAAGTCTCTGAGGCCAGAGAAATGGTGGGTCATGGAGAACCCAGGAGCTGAGGGCCCGAGTGGTTCCCTGGGCTGCAGCACCTGTTCACAGGGGTTCTAGCCTCTCACCCACGGACTGCTCTGACTCCAGAGAGTCCCCTGTGGGCCCGAGAGTTGGCCTCTCCACCAAGGGGCGCCTTCTTCCAACAGCCTCCAGGCCTGGAACTGTCCAGCACCCACCCCTGAACACACCTTCCGGCCTGGTCACCGCACCCCAAAGTCCAGTCTTCTCTGGGATCCGCCCCGATGAGGTCAAATGGAACCTCAGCCTCTGGGTCTCCAAAATGGAGGGGGGCCCATGGTCTCTTGTGGACACAGAAAAATCAATGCTCCCCTAAGATGTCTCTCGTTTGGGGAGTGCAGTTTTCTAACGGAAAGCTGCAAACCCCTTCCCGGCAGAGAGCACCAGCCCCTTTGCTCACCCCCTACCTCCCTAGGCCTGACTTCCTGGGCTGCCCTCACTCCCAAAACCAGGGTGCCGAGTGTGCTTCTGTCCCCATCCCGCCCCTGCCCAGGACCCTGGGATGGGTGGGCCTCCAAGTGCACCCCACTGGCCTGAACCCTCCGCCCCTGCCCGATTCCACGCCTGCTCGTTGATCGTGGATTATCGACTTAATCGCTTTCACAGCGCACCCCTCTGGTTCCCCGCCCGGCGTGTGCCTCCACCCTAGCTGGCTTCGGGGGTCCCATTCTACACCCCGTGTATCCGCAGTTCCGCCAAAGCCTCCCCCCTCCCCGTCCCCGGTCCCCGGCTCGACTCCGCTCCTCCCGACCCGGGCTTCCGACTCCCACTCGGGGTTTCCCGGGAAGCGGCCCCGCTCCCACCCGCAGGGAGGGCTCCGGTGGCCACGTGGCAGGGCGGGGGGCCCGGGTGCTGGCGACCCACCCCCAGCGGGGCGCGGGCGGGGGGACGTGGTGGTGGCGGCGGGGTGCGGCCCGGGGTCCCGCGGGCGGCGGCGGTGACCTTGGCCGGGTGGCTGCGCGGGCCCCGTGGGCGCGGGTCCCCGGGGCGGGGCGGGGCGGGGCGGAGCGCGGCGGGGCGGGGACGGCGCGGGCGCGACTGCGGCGGCTCCGGCGGGCGGGCGGGGGGCGGCGGCGCCAGCGGACACCGGAGCGGGCAGGAGCAGCGGCCGCGGCGCCGCAGGGACCAGCGGGCCCAGGTAGGCGGCCCGGGGCGGGGCGGGGCGGGGGTCCTTGCGCAGCGCCCCCTCGCCGGCGTCCTCCCCGCCGCGCGCCTCTCCTCTGTCCCGGCCGCACCCTCCCGGGACCCGGGGCCGGTTCCTCCCCGCCGGGCTCCGGGGGGGCCCCCCGCCCCATCCCGCCCGCCCCTCCGCGGCTCACCTTGGACAGCTCCCGCCGCCTCCCCTCCCCCACCCGGAGCCCCCCGACCCCGCCGAGGCCCCCCCGCCGCCCCTCTCCACATCGGGCCCCCCAGCAGGGCCTCCTGTCTCCCGCAGCTGCTCACCCACTCAGCCCTCCGCCCCGCTGCCCAGCCAGGCCCCTCCCTCGGCGCCCCCTCCCCGGGGTCGGCTCCTCCTCCCCACCACGGAGGTCCTCGTTAGCGCAGGGGCGCACCCCGGGCTGGCCCCCCTCTGCGCCCTCGGCCCCCCCAGAGCAGGCCCTTTCCCCATCAAACCCTTCATCAGGATCAGGCGGTGGTGGGTGAGACCCCCTCCCCACCCTTGGTCAGGGGTGCCCCCCAGATAGATTCCTGGGTCTTGGCTCTCTCTGCTTTTCTGACCCTGAGCTGGTTTTGACACCCCCGCCCTCTCCCCCCACCACTCCTTGCGCGGCCAGGAGCCAGGGCTGGGGTAGGTTGGCCCAGCCTCGGTGTCTGGGGGTGGGCTGTCCCGCACAGGTGGGAACCTGGGAGTGTAGCCAAGCAAGGCGGGCTTCCAGCCCTGCTGTGTGCCCCCACCCCCCTGCTCTGTGACCTTGAGCCAGCCCCCCTGGCTCCTGCCTCCGTGCCCGGGACCCTCTCCCTCCACCTGCAACCCCCAGGAGGAAGAGGAGGAGGAGGTGGAGGTGGCGTGGGCTTCGGGAAGCTCGTCCTAGTCAGGGATTCCAGACCCAGCAGGGCTGGTGGGGAGGACAGTGGTGCTGACGAGGCTGGAGCTTCAGTGTCCACAGCAAGGCGAAGCCTGGGTCTGGGGCCACAGAACCCACGGCCATCAGGACCCCAGGCCCGTCTTGGTGGCGTCTCTCCGCACGGCAGCGTGCCTGCCTCTCGGGGCACCCACCCAGGAAAGGGCAGGGTCTGCAGAGCCGGCCGCCTCCCCCCCTCCTCCCCAGCACCCCCAGCCTCCTCCGAATGAATTACTATGCATGTAGTCCACAAATCCGGCAGCCAATCCCATGAGTTAGCATTGCCCAGGCGCCCAGAAGTTTGCCTGGCTCGTCACAACTGCGGGCTGTCAGCTGAGGCTGTCATCATCCTGTTTTCTTTTTCTGGCAAATCTGTTACCCTTCATCATCCGGAAGGTGCCTTTGCAACCAACTGGCACAGCGATTGTGATCACAATAGTAATGGGGTCTCCGCTGTACCCGCCACGGCCTACGCCCCCTCCACCTTGTCACCTTACCTGTCGCAACAGTGGCTTGCATTTCACAGAAGAGGAAACGGAGGCTTAGGGACTTGAATTGGCCTGTTTAGGTTCAAACCGCAGAGTCCCAGGCAACGGCTGTGCCCTCCCCATAAACACACCTCCACCCTAAGTGCAGCGGGTAGAAACTGGGGCCTCCTTCTCTCCCACTGTAGAATACCTTGCTGGGGACCCCCTGCCCCCCGGAGACTGGAAGCAGGAGGAAGGGGAGGGGAGGATATCGATTCTGGAGAAAAGCCACCTGCCCTCCCCCCAGGGTTATTCCCCCGCCTCCATCATTTCAGGATCCGCCGTGCTGTGTGACCTCCTGAGGCTGCTGGACCTCTCTGAGCCCAAGAGCGAAGAGAGGGGCTAAGAGGACCCCCCTCCCAGGGAGCGCTATTCCTAAGGATCCATCAGACCTAAACGGGGAGGGGGGGCCCTAGGGCACACCAGGCCATAGTTTGGTTTTAGAGTTTAGGGAGCAGGGATTTTCCTCTTCAGTTTCTAGTTTTGTATTCTGGCATCCCACCTGGGCTGCAGGGGCCTGCCTCCCTGGGGCTGCTATTGGGAATCAGTGCTCCGATTCTCCAACTGTGGTTATTGGACTCCCAGCCTCAGGATCCCATTTATGGCGGGGAGAGCAGCTTGAAAAAAATACAACTTCCAGCTGGACATGGTGGCTCATGCCCAGAATCCCAGCACTTTGGGAGGCCCAGGCAGGAGGATCACCTGAGGTCAGGAGTTCAAGACCAGCCTGGCTAACATGGTGAAACCCTGTCTCTACTAAAAATACAAAAATTAGCTGGGCACAGCGGCTCAAGCCTGTAACTCCAGCACTTTGGGAGGGTAAGGCGCAGATCACAAGGACAGGAGAACAAGACCAGCCTGGCCAAGGTGATGAAACCCTGTCTCTACTAAAAATACAAAAATTAGCCGAGTGTGGTGGCAGACGCCTGTAGTTCCAGCTACTCGGGAGGCTGAGGCAGGAGAATTGCATGAACTGAGTAGGCAGAGGTTGCAGTGAGCTGAGATCGCACCACTGCACTCCAGCCTGGGTCACAGAGTGAGACTTGGTCTTAAAAAAATGAGAAGAATAAAATAAAATACGAGTTCCCAGGGCTATAGCCCTGACCGACCAATTCATCATATTCGTCACAGCTAGGGCTGCAGGCCTGACACCTGCATCTTAAACACCCGACCACGGGCGGCTCTCACGAGGGTTAGCCATCTCCAGGTTGAGGGAAGAGCAGGGACCCATGGTTGGTGGAGACAGGCACCAAACAGGCTTGGGGTGGCAGGACGGGTCAGCAGGCTCTCAGAGCCAGGCAGGTGTGCAGCGAGAGGTGGAAGCCAGGCCTGCTAGCCTGGGAGAAGCCAGCACAGCCGGGAAGGGACGCCGACACCTGGGAAGGAGTTTCGTGGGTTTCCTGGCATCTCCCATGCCTCTTGTAGCTCAGCGTCCTCCAGGGAAGCTCAGGCCCCAGATTTTGTCAGGGGGAGGTAAGCAAAGGGTGCTGGCTGTGTGCCCGCCCGCGGGACAGGACTGCAAAGTCAGCGGAGGCGAGCAGATGGGCCTTTTCGGGGACGCAGGAGGCACGGCGGCCACCTCCTCTGAGAAGCTGCCCTGTCCTCCTCCTCCCTTAACCGGGGGTGTGGGGCTGTCCCCTCCAGCCTGGGTGGCCTTTTACGTCTGACCCTCCTCTCCGCACAGGCTCGGTCTGGGGTTCTCGCAGCCGGCACCAGCCCTCCCGGCCCCGGCCCCCCACCCGCCGCGGGGAAGATGCCAGAGCAGAGCAACGATTACCGCGTGGTGGTGTTCGGGGCGGGCGGCGTGGGCAAGAGCTCGCTGGTGCTGCGCTTCGTGAAGGGCACGTTCCGAGACACCTACATCCCCACCATCGAGGACACCTACCGGCAGGTGATCAGCTGTGACAAGAGCGTGTGCACGCTGCAGATCACAGACACCACGGGCAGCCACCAGTTCCCCGCCATGCAGCGCCTCTCCATCTCCAAGGGCCACGCCTTCATCCTGGTGTTCTCTGTCACCAGCAAGCAGTCGCTGGAGGAGCTGGGCCCCATCTACAAGCTCATCGTGCAGATCAAGGGCAGCGTGGAGGACATCCCCGTGATGCTGGTGGGCAACAAGTGTGACGAGACGCAGCGGGAGGTGGACACGCGCGAGGCCCAGGCGGTGGCCCAGGAGTGGAAGTGCGCCTTCATGGAGACCTCGGCCAAGATGAACTACAACGTGAAGGAGCTCTTCCAGGAGCTGCTGACGCTGGAGACGCGCCGGAACATGAGCCTCAACATCGACGGCAAACGCTCCGGGAAGCAGAAGAGGACAGACCGCGTCAAGGGCAAATGCACCCTCATGTGAGCCCGGAACGCCCGCCTGCCCGCCGCCCACCCGCACTGGCCCCGGCCCCCCGCCCCCCCACCTCCCCCACACCCTCTTCTGCCTCCTCCTCTTCTCTCATCCTTCCTCCGACACCTCGGCTGGGGAAACCGAGGCTGCCCCCTCTCCGCTGCCCCTGACCGCCCCGAGGCAGGGCTGAGGCTCTTCTTCCTGCCCTGCTCTCTCTTCCCCACCCTCCTGTTCTGTCTGTACCCCCAAAACCAAGAGCCGGAGGTGGCCCCCTTGTCCTGCAGATGGGCAAACGGGACGGGGAGCCGGCAAGAGGAGCTCCTTGTTCCCGCCGGGACCAGAGGAGGCTGCGTTTCCCCATCTCCATCTCTTTCCCTGGGGCGTCCCCACCACACCTGTATGTCCCCCACATTTGATCACTGTGACCTTCTGGGGGAGGGGGGAGTTCAAAATGTACATCAGCCTCAGATTTTTTTTTTCTTTCTCCTATTTGGTGTTAACATACACTCAAGCCGACCCGGCCCCTCATGACCTCTGACCTGTGCCCTGCCCCCTCCCCTCCCCCCCGTCCCAGAACGCCCCCTCTCCCCTGTCCTCACACGGGGGATGTGGGGCCTGCGGGATGGGCCTCAGGCCACCAGGCAATAACCGCAGGGCCTGCAGCAGTGCCCCTGCCAGCTCCGAATCCCACCCCTGGGACCGGCCACAGCCACAGCCACAGCACAACTGCCCCATCGGGAGGCACCGTGGATGTGGAGGGGCTTCCCAGACCCCGCCCATCCGGGGACCTGCCTCTTTCACCGAGACAGAGACATTAGCGACGTGTGGTGGGTGGGGTCCTGGGGTGCTTGGGAGGGGGTGCCTGGGGCCCTGGCCAGAGAGACATCAATGACACCCCCGTGAGGGGACAGCCGATGGGACCCCACATCAGTGGAATCCGAGGGGGCTCCGGGCAGAGCTCTGCTCCGCCCATTTCCTCCCACCACCCGTGCCCCAGAGAGCAGGGCCCGCCCAGAAAGGTGGTATCCTGGAGTCAGGGGGTGTCTGCAGCTGTGAGGTTCTGGGTGTTTTTGTGAGAGGGTCTGAACGACCCCACACTCATGTGACCCCACAGGGCTGTGTCCGACATACACGAGGAAGGGTGTATTTGTGCAGCCTGGGGTTCGTGGATGGGTGACTTGCATCTAAGTGCATCTGCGTGGCACCTGTGTGTGTCTGTCGGGACGGTATGTTTTTGTGGCACTCCGTGTGTGTACTAGTGGTGTAGGGTATACAGAGAGGTGGGTAGTCAACAAGAGGTGTGTGGTTGTCAACAGGACTGGATACTTGTGATGTGTCTGTGTGACTCTTTGTGCCTCTACGAGCATGACTATATTTTTGGGAGTGGGTGATACGGCTTATCTGAGAGAGCATTTACCTGTAACTGTGTTTGTCCTGATTGAGGGACACAATCTGTGTCCCACTGTATAGCAACGTGACTCTATAGCAATGTGACTTTCAGTCCCTGATTGGTATCAGTCACCTATTGCTGTGTAATAAATGACCACAATCGGCCAGACCTGGTGGCTCATGCCTGTAATCCCAGCACTTTGGGAGGCCGAGACAGGTGGATCACGAGGTCAGGGGATTGAAACCATCCTGGCTAACACAGTGAAACCCGTCTCTACTAAAAATACAAAAAATTAGCTGGGTGTGGTGGCAGGTGCCTGTAGTCCCAGCTACTTGGGAGGCTGAGGCAGGAGAATCGCTTGAACCCAGGAGGTGGAGGTTGCAGTGAGCTGAGATCATGCCATTGCACTCCAGCCTGGGCCACAGAGTGAGACTCGGTCTCTCTAAAACAAACAACCAATCAAAAATCCCCACAAATGACCACAAACGTAGCAACCAGAAATGACACGTTTATTGTCTCATAGATTCTGTGGGTCAAGAGCCCGGGAGCAGGTTTGCTGGGTCCTCTACTTGGGAATCTCAGGAGGCTGCAATCAAAGCATGGGCCAGGCAGAGGTCTCATCTGAGGGCCTGACGGGGGAAGGATCTGCCTCTTCCCAGCTCGTGTGGTTGTTGCAGCATTCAGTTCCTTGCTGTTGCAAGACTGAGGACCTCGGTTCCTTGCTGGCTGTTGGCTGGAAGTTGCCTTTTGATCTGTGTCATGTGGATCTCTCCATAGGGGGGCTCAGAACACAGCAGGTAAGTCAGCCAGGGAAGGCGAGGTGGAGGTGTTGGTCTTATTGTGTGTGAGGAAACAGTGTGTGTGTGTGTGTATGTGCTTTTGTGGAGAAAGAGAGAGAGACAGAGAGCGTGCACACCTGTGTCTCTGTAGTCATGTGGCCAGGTGGGACTACGTAGGTAACAGATTGCTCGTGTCTGACTTGGTACAAGCATGTTTGTTTTCCTCTGTGTTCATGTAAGTGTTTACTCAACAAATGTTTACTGGACACACTCAGAAAGGGGGAGTGTGCGTGCGTGCATGTGTGTTGCTATCCAGCACGTGGACCGGGGCTCCCAGAAGAGCTGGTATCGTGTCTGAGCAGAGCTGGGTCCCCCCAACACTTGGGCTGGCCCAGGGCCCACCAGCAGCTGACATCGCCTCCTCTCTTGCCCTGGCAGTGGCTTCTGGGCTCTGAAGGTGCTGGAGAGAGTGAGGCTGGGCAGGGGTCTGCGGCCCTTTCTCAGGGACACACCCTGATAGCACAATCTCCCTGGGGCCCTGCCCACCTCTAGGCCTCTCCCACCCCAGGCCCTGCCCCGACCCTGGGGAGAGAGGGGATCTGCCATAGGAGGGGTGTCCGAGCCTGCCCTGGCCGCTGGCCCGTCCTGCCTGGGCATCCCTGGTGCTGGGGACTGTGCCAGGCCACGCTTGCTGTGACCCGCCCCTACCCCCTCTCCCCCTGCATGTGGGTGCCCCCACCCCCCATCATGGGGTCTGTGTAGCCTTTGCTCTAGACATAGTCTTTCTGCAATAAAGAAGTGGATCCTGCATTCCCCACCAGCGTGGTGCCCTGTCTCTGTGGTGGGGGTGGGGTGTCAGCTCACCACCTGCAAAGGATCCAGAAGGGTGGGGAGGTGCAGGATGGGGATGGAGGGTGGAGGACGTGAGGATTGGGATGGTGGTGGGGCGGTGGAGGGGGCGGGGTGAGGACATGCAGCATGGGAGGTGAGGCAGGTTCCGTCTGGGACTGTGCTTGGAGATTTCTTGTTCAGCTTCTTTTTAGGGCCTCAGTTTCCAGATTCACTCTGTGCACATTAGCTGGGGACATCCTCACAGCTGGACTTTGTGTGAACTTGGGCAATTTCCTTGCAGGGCCCAGTGGTGTTGGAGCAGAGGGGACTGTATTCGTCCATTCTCAAAATGCTATAAAGAAATACCCAGACTGGGTGCAGTGACTCTTGCCTGTCATCCTAGCTCTTTGGGAGGTTGAAGCGGGTGGATCACCTGAGGTCAGGAGTTCGAGACCAGCCTGGCTAACGTGGCGAAACCCTGTTAGAAACCCTCTACTAAAAATACAAAAATTAGCCAGGCGTGGTGGCGGAAGCCTGTAATCCCAGCTACTTGGGAGGCTGAGGCAGGAGAATTGCTTGAGTCCAGGAGGCGGAGGTTGCGGTGAATGAGATCTCGCCATTGCACTCCAGTCTGGGCGACAAGAGTGAAACTCTAATAATATCTGACACAGGTAATTGATAGAGAAAAAAGCTTTAATTGGTTTAATTTAATTGTTTCATGGTTCCACATCCTGTACAGGAAGCACGGCAGCAGCTGCTTCTGCCGCAGCTGCAGGAAACTTACAGTCTTGGCTGAAGCAGGTGCACCTGGGTGGGGAGGAGGAGGAGGAGGAGCCACACACTTTTAAACAACGGGATCTCGCGAGATCTCTATCGCGAGACCAGACTGAGTGGGTGGTCCTACATCTTTCCCTAAAGGATCAACGGGATCTGGCGAGAACTCTATCCCGAGACAGGACTGAGTGGGTGGTGCTAAACCTTCCGTGAAGGTTCAATGGGATCTCGCGAGAACTCTATCCCGAGACAGGACTGAGGGGTGGTGCTAAACCTTCCGTGAAGTAACAGCAGGATCTCGCGAGAACTCTCTCGAGTACTCTAGCCTGAGACAGGACTGAGGGGTGGTGCTAAGCCATTCTTGAAGGTTCAACGGTATCTCGCGAGAACTCTATCGAGAGGCCTGCGGGGTGGTGCTAAACCATTCGTGAAGGATCAACAGGATCTCGCGAGAGCTCTATCCCGAGACAGCCTGAGGGGGTGGTGCTAAACCTTCCGTGAAGTATCAGCAGGATCTCGCGAGAACTCTCACGAGAACTCTCGCGAGAGCTCTATCCCGAGACAGGACTGAGGGGTGGTGCTAAACCATTCGTGAAGGTTCAACGGGATCTCGCGAGACTCTAGCCTGAGACAGGACTGAAGGGTGGTGCTAAACCATTCGTGAAGGTTCAATGGGATCTCGCGAGAACTCTATCACGAGACAGGACTGAGGGGTGGTGCTAAACCATTCGTGCAGGAATAACGGGATCTCGCGAGAACTCTATCACGAAACAGGACTGAGGGGGCGACGCTAAAGCATTCAGGAGGGATCCACGGTTATGATCCAACCGCCTCCCAGCAGGTACCTCCTCCAACAGGGGACTGCAACTCAACTTGAGATTTGGGTGGGGACACGGGGCCAAACCTGACCAACATGATGAAACCCCGTCTCTGCTAAAAGTACAAAAATTAGCCTGGCGTGGTGGCGCTCACCTGTAATGGCAGGTACTTGGGAGGCGGAGGCAGGAGAGTTGCTTGAACCTGGGAGGGGGAGGTTGCAGTGAGCCAAGATGGCGCCACTGCACTCCAGCGCTCTACCCTGGACTACAGAGCAAGACTCTTTCTCAAAAAAAAAAAAAAAAAAAAAAAGGTTACAGGAGGCCAGTCTTAAATACAATTTTTAAAATATTTATAAATAATTGTTGATTCACGGGAAGGTACGAGAAGGTCCGATGCGCCCTTCATCCAGCCCCCACACTCATCTGAGTGTGTGAGTATGTGTGTGTGGTTTATGCAGTTTTTTTTTAAATCATGCCAAATGATTTATAATTACCCATAAAGATCTATCATATCACCCAGGGACCATTTCACCCAGTGCTCTGTTTGGCTGCCAGTCTTTTGTCTCTCTCTTCAGCAATGGTGAGGCGGATACCCTTTCCTCGGCGAAGAGAAATCCATGGTTTGTTGCCCTTGCCAATAACAAAAATATTGGAAAGTCGAGTGGCAAAGCTGTTGCCATTGGCGTCTTTCACATGAACCACATCGAAAGATCCAGGGTGCCTCTATCTCTGTTGGTAATCACACCAATTCTTCCCAGGTTAGCACCCCCAGTCACCATACACAGGTTACCAGTGTCAAACTTGATGAAATCAGTAACCTTGCCAGTTTCCAAATCAATCTGAATGGTATCATTCACCTTGATGAGGGGATCAGGGTAGCGGATGGTGCGAACATCATGAGTCACCAGATAAGGGATTCCTTTTGTGCCCACAAAGATTTTTCGTACTTTGCACAATTTGTACTTGGCCTTCTCAGGTGTAATACGATGTTACAGCAAAGCGACCCTTGATGTCATAGATCAGACGGAAATTCTCTCCCGTCTCGTCAACGCTGATGACATCCATGAAACCAGCAGGGTAGGTTATATCAGTTCGGACCTTGCCATCGATCTTAATGCACCGCTGCATGCAAATCTTCTTTACTTCATCTCCTGTCAGGGCATACTTAAGTCTGTTCCTTCGGAAAAGGATGAGGGGGAGACACTCTCTCAACTTGTGAGGACTGGTGGATGGACGAGGAGCAAACACGCTGGTCAATTTATCCAGCATCCAATGCTTTGGAGCTGCCACCCGCTTCAGATGCTTCTTGGGACCACCAGCCATGGCTGCGTTAGACAAGGAAAGAGCTATGCAGTTTTTTTTTTTTAAGGCGGAGTCTCACTCTGTCACCCAGGGTAGAGTGCAATGGCGAGATCTCGGCTCAATACAACCTCCGCCTCCCAGGTTCAAGTGATTCTCCTGTCTCAG